CTCAAGTGAGGAAACCCTTGAATTGACTGCTGAAACGCCCAAAACACGGAACGAAAGGTTGCATCTTTGGGATCAGGAAAAAGATCATATTGCCATTCCAAGACCATCTTGTTAGATGAGCTAAGGGCTGCCATGAACTTGGGCAATACATTAAAACTGTTGTCCAAATCTCGCAAGATTGCAGTGATCGCTTTCTTTTTAGCATCCCACATATTAGTGCTCGAGACTGTGTAACCAAATTCTTCTTTCACCCACATGTTTAGCTCTGCAACTGAGAGCGAGGGCTGAGCCTTGATTAGACCTTTGAGCTCACCTGCCAGAAAATCTGAGCTCACATTTGCTGGCTTACAACTATGTGGACCTACATATTCTGTTATCTTGATGCCATTGTTGTTTGTTTTAGCAGCCTTAAGAATCCATACGCAGAGCCAGAGATTCGTACATTTATATTCATAGATACCAGAAATGTCACTTTCGTTTTTAGTGTAATTTCGATGTCTTCGATAAGAGTACAACTTCACTGCTTTCCCCAACTCATATTTATCTCGAAAAAGCATCCCAAGATGCAACTCACGTTCATCAAGCCATGAACTAGAGAAAATCATCTGCTCTGAGACATTATCTATGAGGCTTTTTGTTGGAACTGGATTTTTCATATTCGAATCCTTCTGCACAGCCCCAGCATTACCACCATTTTTTCCACAATTACCGCCATCCGTACCAAAGCTTTTTGTTGGAACTGGATTTTTCAGATTTGAATCCTTCTGTGCAGCCTCAGCATTATCACCATTTTTTCCACAGTTACCGCCATCCGTACTCTCATCTTCCTCAATCCATCCGTTACTGTTACCCTCCTGCAGAGTTTTTAATGTGTTATCTCTCACATTTAAATCTGCATTGGTGTTAATATCCTCTTGCCGAGAACGTTTCCGGGTCACCTGATTCGCCAAGGAACTAGCAACAGGACCAACACCTTCATCAGGAACCGGTTTGACTTCTAAATACAACTCCACATTGTTAATAGAAGGATGACAACTTGGAACCTCAAGCATAGTCTCTAAACTACAATCATCCACAATAGGCATACGCACATACTTCACCATAGACTTTTGAACAATGTAAGGATACCTACACATCAACCCAATCTGAAACTTCCCCTTTTCAAATCCAGTAACTCGATGCATATGATTCAACAATTTGGGTAAATCAACTTTGCTTTCAACTCTAATAACTCTTGGAACTGTTCCTTCATAGTATGGACCATCAGGACCATCTTTTATACAACCATTCCAATAACACAACACTGGAATCTTTCTTGTATCCATAAGTAGAACCACCAACAAAACCTTCAAAAGAATTTCAATAAAAACTATAAAGGAGAATACTTTCTAAAGGAATCGAACAACCCAAAACCGTATTTGTGATTTCAGTAACTCTAAAGCTCAATTTTCATAAGATAATCATAATAATACGCCATTGATGACTGATAAAGGAGAATGCTTTATAACAGATAAAAAAAAAACCCATCAAAAGGAAAAACCCTAGAATATTTTTCAGAAATGAGACATCTTTGAACTGTGAGGATATAGAAAACAACGATTTTTACCTGAATAAAGCGGGAAAAAGCTTCACTTGCAGTTGCAGATGAGTTTCTGTATAATTTAGCCGGAAAAAAAAAGAGTAGTTCTTCCTTCGCCGGAGAAAACACTTTTACTCTGTGGTCAAAGTTTTTTTTTTATCTTACACTAAATAAACCTAACCACACGGCCTAGTTCGGTTTAATTTGGTTTAGGTTCAAGAGTCTGCAATATGGTACGAATTTAGTTTTGGACCTACTAAACCTTTTAGACCATCATTAACAATGGAGTCCAAAAATAGAGATCCAAACAAGATTTATAATTTATATAATGGAAAATCTATAATTAGACACTTGAAAGAGATTTATTGTTATCTAAACATGGAAGGTCTAAAAATTTAAATGTTTGGAAAAATGTGTCAAATCATATATAGAAAAGTTGGCCAACTCTCTCCATATGAGTGCCACATCATCACACAAGAAAATGACATGTGTCATTCAACATTATTTAAATTAAAAATCAGCAAAATTAATTGAGGGAAAATCAAAAGTTTCATATTGTATTAAATCCTCCATTAATCCCTTTCTTAAATAATTTCTTCAAAATAAAAATAAAAAAAAATTATTTTTAGAAATCAATTACTACTTTCATTTTACTTTTATTATTTTTCTATTTTTTTTTAATTTAATGGTCAATGGTCATTACTCGATAATGACTAAATAATTATTTGTATTATAGTTTAGTTGTTTACTACCTAATATCTTATTAGTTTAGTAATTTTACCTTGAATATTTTTTTTATTATTACGTTATGGTTCATATCTTATAATATGATATTCTCTCTTTTCATTTTTGTGTCTTATGGTATGTTCGTAACATTGACATGCAAATTTTTTCAAGTAATGAGCTTTTGAGACGTTAGACATACCACGAAATTCAAGACAAATCTATTCCTCTTATATGTCTATATGTAATAACATAAAATCTAAAAATGTTACTTAAATAACTCTTTGATTTTTGCTTTCTTTTTTCTTATTTTCATAATATCTTATATTTTTGTTGTGTGTATTCATGATAATGAACAAATATTAGAATCTTAGATATAAAAATAATCAGATTATACATGAAAATGTATAAATTGATATTTAGAGTCAAAAACAAATCTAAAAATAAAAATTGTAAGTATATAAGATGAGTCTAATTTTATTAACTATACAATAATAAAAAAAACATAAATTAGCGACAAAGACAATTTATATATTTTTATCTTAACAATTTTCAAAACAAACCCACGCGTAGCGTGGGAATTCATCTAGTTTTTTTACAAAACTTGAGACACAAACTATGCTTGACAAGGTGATATTTGCATCTCACATCTTCATGCTAGCCAATCAGCCTGAAAAGGAAACAAGAAGCACACAATATATGCTTTGATCAAAAAAACATAACACATAGACTTAAAATTAGAACACATCACAGAGACTGATTAATTTAGAATTTAGAACAAAACACATACAAGTTAAACATTTAACTACCAAATATTGATCACAGACAATAAAGAGTCATTAAATTTGATGTAGACAGTCTAAAACTATCAAACCAAGCATTTAACTACCAAATTTGCTGTTAATGAAAAGCTAAGAAGCAAAGGAAGCAAAATAATGTCGACAGTTTTTGGAATAACCAAGCATTTATCAGAAACAGATGAAACAAGCATTAAACCAACCATATTAAGCAAGCATTGATCACAAACAGATGAAGCCAAGAAAAGTCTTACCTAATCAAAGTCTTAACTAAACAATTGATATAACAAAGAGTAAAAGGAAGAAGAGTTAATACCTTCCTGCATTTGTGATAAACCAACTTGACCTTTCTGGTTTCTTTCTTCTTGTTTTACTTTTAACTCTGACCACTCGAGGCATTCTCATTTGCTCTTTATCAGCTGAAAAGCTAGCAGCCTAGAAAATATTTATACAAAGATCAAATCAAATCAAAACATTGTCTCAAGTTATTCAGGTCAATGATCTGAACTTATTGTACATAAACCTGGAGATCAAAATCATGTTTTGAAGACAAGGATATTGCAGATTCCCACAATTACGTCCAAGGAGCAATCGGTTTACCTCCTGTAAATCCAATCAACAACATAACTAAAATTAACACTTGAACTCACTAGAAAAAAATCCATAAACATCATTCGAATTATAGAGATCAAACACACTAAAAGAGTAATTAGTTTGGAGGGATATTCCAACCACTGCTCCATTCTCGGACCAAAAAAGAGGAATATTTGACAAGTTGAAGCCGATAATCAAAGAGAGCAACATACCAAAGATTAGGGCTTCTCGTTTCCCCAGATTTGTACTGATGAAGACAATCAAATGGCAGAAAGTAGAAACGGATCAAATCTCGATTTTGATGGGTTTCGTGTAGAAAACAGAATTAGGGTTCGCTTCCGATTCACCGATTTGCTGAATCAAAGGCGTTGATCGTGCTCCGCGTCCGTTGAGATGATGATGACGACGAATCAAAGGCGTCGATCGTTCTCCTCGGTTTGCTTCCGATTTCACTGAAATCTCTTCGGTGAAATCGTCGATGAAAGAGAGAGAGCAACTCGCGAAAAGAAAACGGGAAAAAAAAAAATCGATGTAATAGATACTTCCCAACCAACCACAGTGAAACACGTAAGCAGATCCAAAGATGGTAAAAAAATCCAAAATTAGACCCAGATCCATTGTTTTATGGGCTATATTAATTTAAATACACAGAAGATTTAAAAATTAAGAATATATCTTTAGTTTTTTTATTATTAGTTATCTCTCTTCAATTTGGACGAAAATACCCTTCCACATATAACAAACTAGTTAACGTCATAATAAAATAGATATCGACATTTCATATATGAATTAGATATGTATGAATTAGATATCAACGTTTTTGTATCTTCATTATTTATCAAATATCTCGGTCATCTTTATTAGGTTCACACGCTAACAAAATATTTATATCAATAAGCTTATAATTATTTCATGCTAAGTCATCTTCTATCGCGATAAGTTGAACATATTGATAATTATATTACCG